GAGCAAGTGAGTAGATCTGTATACATCCACTTGTTTTCTTTCCTTTTCTTTCAAAGTGGTGCTGGGTTTGATCAGGCATGTTGGGCAAGTGTCCAACCACTAAGCTATATTCCCAGGGTCCTGCTCCACCCTCTTAAAAAGACTTTTTTGAGACATAATCTTGATACGTTTCCTGGGCTGGCTATGAACTCACAATCCTCCTGCCCCTATTTCCTGAGCAGCTTAGATTACAGGCCTGTACCACCAGGTCCAGCGGAAGATATCTGATGGTGGACTTTTTCTTTGCTGTTGTCTCTGGTAAAACTTTATTTGTAAAAACAGGCAGCAAATCCTAGTTTGCCGATCTTTGACTGTCCATCTTTACATGTCCATGGCTGTCTCCTATCCCTACACAGGTTTGGTTTGGTTTTTCTCACAGTGCCTCCTTTTGTAGGCTTGCTTAGCCTTCAACTCAATAGACTTCTACTTCAGCCCCAAGGTGCTATGGATACAGTGTGCACTGCCATCCTTGCTCTGTTTTTGCTTTTTATTTGTTTTGTCTTTTCGAGACAGGATTTCTCTATGTAGCTTTGGAGCCTGTCCTGGGACTTACTTTGTAGACCAGGCTGGCCTTGAACTCAGAGATCTGCTTGCCTCTGCCTCCCAAGTACTGGGATTAAAAGCATGTGTTGTTTTTTGTGGGGTTTGTTTTTCCTTTAAACTGGTTGGTGTAAAGTTATTATAGATCCAAACCAGGTGGTCTTGTGGACTGCAACTTGAAGCTGTTATCTCAGTTGGAGATGTAGGGCCTTTCCCATTCCTTTCTTTGTCAGTGCTTGGGCTCAAACTCAGATGCGTGCACATGTGCTGTTCCCACCAAACTGTGCACCCACCGCATGCTGTACACCTCCTGTCCTACACCTCCCATCCTGCACCCCAAATCCTACACCTCATACCCTACACCTCATGTCCTACACCTCCCATCCTGCACCCCACATCCTATACCTCCTGCCCTACACCTGGCATCTTTTAAGGTTATCTGTTATTTATAAATCAGAATTTCTTAACTACAAGTCTTCCCTGTAGTCCTAGAAGTATCACTTCCCTCTGGGCCATTCCACCAGCAGAGGCAGCTGGAGAAGAACCAGGGGCGCTAAATGGGTAGGGCAGGGGAGTTCTTCAGGGGAAGGAGGGTTCCAAACCCCTAGAACCTGGAGAATGTTAACCAGAGTTGCTAATAATTCTAAGATCATGGGTAACCCAATTGGTCTGTCTGGGGTTTATCCCCAGAGGTTGTAGATCTTCACAGAAATTGGAAGGGACACTGACACCTACGGAAAAATCACCAACATCTATTCTATATATGTTTGGTTACTATAATTTGAGTGTGGGTCCCTTTCTGAATTTTCTTTGAGATGACTATTTAATTACCTACAAAGGTGTCACAAGAACCAAGGATGAGCAGAGCAACACAAGGTGGTCAACTAAACACTGAGCCCATGTTATCTGACCAGTGTTATTTGTTTTAGGCATAAGCCATGGAAACAAAAGTTTCTTTGAAACTTGACATAAGCTTAAAGCTATCTCCTGTTTCAAAGGATGAGCTCAAAGTGGGGTATAAAACAGAGGATGCAATACCAGACACAAGGAAGGAGACCCCAATGTCAGCCTGTCTCCTGGCTATAGGAAAGGAAGGAGTGGGATTCTCTTAGAATTTGGAAGGCTGGGTTTGGCAGATTACTATGCATCAAACACAGGGCTATGAAGTGATTTCTATAATAACATTATCAGCTTTGTAAAAGGATGTATTTGTGCCTGTTTTATAAGAGAGAAGCCAGTGTTCATTCAGCCATTGGACCCTACCAACCCATCAAATAACTGCCAGAATGGCAGACCCTACATCTAAATGCAGATATAATGAATCAAATTCCTTTTGCTTGAGCTGGAGGTGAGTCTTAGTGATAGAATAGTTGCTTAGCATGTACAAGGCCCTGAGTTTGGCCCCTGAAACATCACAAGAAGAGAAAACATTTCTTTGTTGCTGCTATAATACTATGGGTGACTAGAAATGACAAGAAAAATTAGGAAAGCATGCTGAACAATCTTGCCTTATGTTGATGAGGAAAAATTCAATTTTTGATGGATGCACGTGTCAGGATGGGGAAATGACAGGTTAATTCTTTTTATAAAAACATATATTCCTAGTTTAGTGCTGCCATATAGAAAAGAAGACACATAAGCAACTTTACATTTTCGAGCAGCCACATGGTAAAAGTGAAAAGAAACAAAATTTGTCTGAGATACATTTCTACTTAACTCAAAATATTATCATTCCTACATGGAAAGGAAGCAATAAAAAACTGTTGAGATATTTTAGACTTATTTTTGGTCTATGCCTCAAAATTCAATGTGTGATATATATCAAGGAGATTTTAATTTGGCTTGTCTGCTCTTTCAGTGATCAAAGCTGCATGTGGTAGCTGGCTGCTATAAGACACCAAACAGCTAGAGAGTGATGGAGTCTGATGAACATTTTAGGGTATGAATAATGAGAGTCAGAAACATGGACTTGAGGAATACTCATGGAAAGATAGACTAGAAAGTCTCCAAATGAGACATTAGTTAAGGTCTGTTCCTAAAAGATGCAGCACAAACAGGAGGGGATTGTGAAGTTATGTGAGCTAGCAACAGAATGAAGAGAGTAATCAAACTTTTATATTCCACCACTGCCCAAAGTCCAAGCAAATCCAGAGTTCTGCAGAGGGTTGAGCCTCAGAGAGCATTAGACTATGGAAAAGACCCAGGCAACTGCACCAAGCAACCAGACCAAAACCAGCTGCCTAAGGCACAGGCCAGTAGTCCAAACACCCACATCCCAAATGCTCCAAAGTCCAGAACCTTGATGTGGGCATCTATTGGAGTGTGTGCACATGTGTGTTCATGAATGTTTGTGAGGGTTGGAGGGATGCACGAATCTATGGAGGCCAAAAGTCAACCATAGGTGTCATCCCTCAGGAGCTGTCCATCATGTTTTGGAGACAGGGTCCCTCGTTGGCCCAGAATTTGCATAATTAGCTGGTTGTCTAGTGAGACCCAAGGATCCACCCATCTCTGCCTCCCTAGTACTAGTGTTCTAGTGCATTCTGTCACACTGATAAAATATCCTGACCAAAAGATAAGGAAAGGGTTTCTTTAGCCTGTATTTCTAGGACACAGTCTAGCACTGAGGAAAGTCAAGGCAGGAACTTAATGGCTCTGTGGTTAAGAGACTGACTTCTCTTCCAGAGGATCTGGCTTCAATTCCAGCATCTACATGGCAGCTCACAGCTGTCTGAAACTCCAGTTCCAGGGTATCCAAGGCAGGAACTTAAGCATGAACCTTAAGTAGATACCATAGAGGAATTTTGCCTGCCAGTTGGCTTGCTTGAACACTCATGCTTAGATAGCTTTCTTATATAACCCAGGACACCTGCCTAGGGGACTGTAATGCCTACAGTGGACTGGAGTTTACTGTATGCATTAGTAATTGAGACAGTACCTTCACAGGCATGCCAATCTGATCAAGGCAATTCCTCAACTGAAATTCCTTCTTCCCAGGTGACTAGGCTATGTCAAGTTCACAAATACTAAACACTAAATAGGACAGCTGGAATTATAGGGACAGAGAAGGTTTTTTATATG